GCCAGGTATCCAGACAACCATCCATGAATCCAGGAACACTTTCAAGTGACTACTTTGCTTTCTGCCAAGAGGAAAAAGATAAACCACTGCAGTGACTGTTCACTATGGAGAAGGTCTTGTGAATTTGCATGTCATAAAAGTCTGATTTTTTTTTTTTTTTTTTAAACATGCCCCTTAAGCCCTTCCCACTGTTAAGAGTCTGGTCACACCCACTTTTTGGTGCGGCACGCTACGTGCGAGTTACAGGCTTACATGAGCCTCCAGTGTCCCTTATTCTCAAGTTCTAAAGTTGGGAGGTAATGATTATGTCCCATATTCAGCTTACATGTATCGTTCCTGTTTTGTCTAATATTAATATTACAGGTTGATCTTACTAGGGTAACAAATGTTATCTAGGTTCTGCAGTGTGTGAAGGCTGGGTCACATAACTTGTCCTTTATACTAGGCAACTGTGTAATTCAACTTTCATCAGTCTTTGTCTCTTTACACATATTCTATCAAGCTGGCAGACTGGGGAGGCTGGATGCCTTGGCACACAAACCCTCAGCTTGTGAAACGGCAGGAGCCGAGGTTAATTTCCGCCTCTTGGAAAGTGTTCTGTATCAACAGCTTAAAAATAGACTGCAGGACAAAAAACATGCTTAAGCAGACAGGGCAAACCCATATGATGGACACTAAATATTCAGCAGAACATGATTTGAATAATTGAATATCTTTTTGGCCAGATAGCTGGAGACGGGTGATGACTGCACATGGCTGAATATGATTAAAAGATCTGCTTACTAAATGAGCTAATTAAACAACCTGAAATGAGCAATAAAGATGCCTTCAGTGATTTAATGCATATAAAGATACCGTCCCCTTTCTGCTACCGAAGGGGCAAGGAATGGCTACAAAGCTTCAATCACAGGATAAAATTATTGGATGCACAGAGGTCCGGGAGAATGAAATCTGTTGGAAAGACCACGTTTCAATGCCTAATTTATTGGTTGTCTGTTTTTGCTGAACGTGCAACTTATTTAATTACTGCTCTCAATCAAACTGGTTAGGTTATTGCTTCATGCAGAGGGGAAATGAGAGAGGCAGGAATTTTCTGCGGCTCTGCATGTGTAATAAGCTGCAGTTTCAGCATCACTGGCAAAAGGATGTTACTGAATGATCATTTTCTCTCCTACGCCTTTTCCACTTAAACAAGTAACACGCTTTCAGGCCATTTTCACAGAGCTCTCAGGGTAATTAGAGTTTTAAGCTTGACATTAAGGATTGGAGAAGCACAGGGAAGGAAACAATTTTCATAAACAAAACAAAGGGCCACTACAAATTGAGCAAACGTAGATACAGGCAGGTCAAGGATTTGTCCATCCATCGCAAAGACAAAACAGATGAAAAATGCAGTCATTTGACCTACCAACAGACCGCCAGTTAAATTCCTATTCCCACATTGTTCAGTAGGGGATTTTGGTTTCCAGCTTGTAGAGAACTTTCTATGGGCACAATCTTTATCCCTGGTTAATGGTCTGAAATAGTTATCTGGTTCTTCAAAGTTGATTGCTTCATTAATACAACTTCCAGACAAGGACATCCTTGAAGCTCCTGAGTGAGTCTTCTGGTTCATAATTCGTTGCAGAAGCTCATGTAACCCAGATAAATCTAAACTTTGCCCATATTCTTGTGGAGGTGGTGCCAATGAGATGGAATGTTTTTCTAGATCGTACATACTAGATCCTTTGTTTGACATGGAAAGGGGATGTAGAAAAGAGCGAGACCTTCGAGAATGTTCTTTTCTCTGCACCTCATCCAGACAAGCATCACAGATGCGTACTGTATTATTCTTTGGCATCAAAACATCTAGTTTTGTATCCAACTCGCTTGGAGCATTATTTTCCAGTAGACGCTCAGCAGAAATAGAACCCATTAGTGATGTCTTAGATCTTGTGGCAACAATAGAATCGCTGTGTCGACGGTAGGTAGGGCAGGAATGAGCCATCACCAAAAGAAAGTTTTGGTCATTGACAGAATTTTTCTACAAATAGTAACAATGTGAAGAAGACAGTTCGGTAACTGAAGACTTTGGGTACTGGTGATCAAGTGAGATACAATAGTTGGTAACTACACAATCCTCAGTATTCTGTGTGTATTCACGTGGAATATTTCAATACTTTCAAAACAGGGCTTATAAACTCTGTCAGTACTGGTTATTTCAATCACAGATGTACTACATCTTCATTGACTGCTGCTGAAGCTAGCAAAATCTTTTCATTAAGGTGTTTCTGGTGCTTGAATAGGAAATATGTGAACCAAAAAGCTCTCTAACAAAGGGTGGAATAATATTTTGCTAAATTAGTAACAAAAAAATGAAGATTAAATAAAATCAGAAAGACTGGATGAAAAGGATAAAGCATAACAGCTTAGTGTTGACTAATTAATGAGCACTCTACATGTAACATTATATACTTAAGTAAATTTGGAAAGCAATTTTCTTATGACTTATGGAATTGTTTTTTTGCCAAATGTCTATTACTTTAAAGAGATATTCCAGCCAAAAGAGAACATAGCTTTAAAGTGGTTCTAAAAGCAGAAGGTTTTTTTTTTTTTTTACACCAATGCATTCTCTGCATTAAGGAAAAAAACCTAAGTGCAGCCCCCCCAGCCCCCCTTTTGCTTATCTGAGCCCGATCTTCATCCACGATCTGCATGAGAACAACGGCGCTCTTGGCTCTCTCCCTCCTCAAAGACTAAGAACCAGCAACTGGAGCCATTGGTTCCCACTGCTGCCAGCCACAGTCTGTGAGCAGGGAGTGGAAGGCGGGGCAAAGATGTGCTCTGTTTGTCAATGAATACAAAGCGGGCTCAACAGCAAGTGCCCTATAACAAGCGGCTTGCTATGGGGGCATTCAGCGGGGTGGGTGTGTGTGTGTGTGTGTGTGTGTGTGTGTGTGTGTGTGTGTGTGTGTGTGTAAGCCGTCAGCGACAGAAAGAAGCAGAGGAGGATTGGGGCTATTCTGTGCAAATCTATTGCACAGAACAGGTAAGTATGACAAGTTTAATTTTTTAAAGAAAAAAAATATTAAGTTCACAATCACTTTAATGCAACAATGTGGTAATAGAATTGTTTGTAAGGGTTTTCATTTCAAAGACATTACTGGCTTTTAACTTTCTATCATTACCACTTCTTGTAATACAGAAAATCTTTATTCACAGGTAGAGAAATCAGAGAGGGGACTTACATTTGGTAGTTGTCCACATGGTACCCATACCAATAGTGGATCACTGTTAAAAGGAGCAAATGAAGGGAAATTATATTAACCACTTCCCTTCCGGCCGTTGTATATAAACGGCCAGACGGTGGCAGTGCAGGGTCGGGTGGCCGTTTATAAACGGCCTCCCCGCCCCCTGCTTGTGCACGCTCCCTGGGAGCACGCAGCACCGCGGTCCGGTGCCCGCTGTGTCCTCCGGACACAGTGGAACACGGATCGTCGTACGGGACCTCTCTGCGAGGTCCCTATCATGTGATCACTGATTGGCCAATCAGTGATCACATGCAGAGTAGTAAGCAAGATGTCACTTCTGACATCATTGCTTACTACGTGTGAAATCTGTGAATGATCACAGAGGTCACATGGTACAAGGCTATTCACAACAGCCTTGTACCATGTGACAAGCTGTGACCAATCACAGCTCACACAGTAGTTCTCAATGGCTGCAAGAATGCAGCCAGAGAGGAGGAGAAATGATTGCTTTTACAGCCTTTATGGGTGTAAAAGCAATTTGTGTAAAAAAAAAAAAAAATCTTCATCACCCCCCACAAGTAGTACAGTGTCACCATGGTGACACTGTACTGCTAGGGTGACAGTATGTTAAAAAAATATATATAAAAAAATAAAAAATAAAAATGTAAAAAAAAAACAGTTTAAAAATTATAATATTTGGTTATAAACCAATTTATTTATTTTTTTTTTTACTAAAAAGATAAAGGAATACATTTTGGCCAAGATTTATGAACACTTTTTTTTTCAAAATGTTTGGACTTTTTTCATTTACATAGCAAAAAAAAAAAAAATCCCAGTGGTGAATAAATACCACCAAAATAAAGTTTTATCAGTATAAAAAAAAAGCTAAAAAATTCATATGGGTACAGTGTTGCATGACCGCGCAATTGTCATTCAAAGTGTGATAGCACTGAAAGCTGAAAATTGGCCTGGACAGGAAGGGGGTAAAAGTGTCCAGACTGGAAGTGGTTAAACACAACATCTTTATTTTCTCAAAAACATTAAACTGAATTTTCATTCATTTGAAACCTGTTTGCAAACCAGGCAATTTCAGCTGACTCTTAGTTTGCAAGGCACAAGGCAAATCCTTTCTTGTAGGCAAGCCCTTTTTTATTGTACTTATGTTAAAGTACACATAAAGCCAAAACTTTAATTTCAAAGTAGGGTGAGGTTAAAAATGCTGTCAGCGGTTTTGCCATGGAGATTTCCCTTCACTTCCTGACTTGTAGATTCAACAGCAAACACGATCTTTCCAATGTGCAGGTTATACCCTCTAAGACAGCCGTCACAGGAAGAAGTGCAGTTGAAAGATTTCCCCTCTATTCCTGTTGTGAGGTCAACTGAAAATGTTGAATTTACTCTCACTTTCATTTCCAGGAACATTGGTGATCAGGCCAATTAGAGGAGTGACATTTTGCCCTTAGTTATACTTTAATATTGCTCAAAATTTCTGCACATAAGTAAATTACGGTAAAGTAAAGAGATGGACTGTAGTGTCAAATACTGTTTCTGTCAATATCATGGCTTCTTCCACTCAGCATAAAGATTCATTTAAAGTAGAATCTGTATTTGTTTAAATTCAGCTACAGCCTTAAATCACTTCATTAGGTAACAGAGAAGCTATAACTTACAAACCCCAAGCTGTAAAAAGTAGTGGGACCACCGACTATGAACAACACTGTTTCTTACATAGCAGAGGTTAAAAACAAAACATGGACAGATCACACTTACTGCTGCAGGCTGCTGGTATTGCCCCAGTTGATGCTGAGGACTCTGTGGAAGAACTTGGCCCTCAATCATAGGTGGGCTGTATACTCGTTGAATGGCTGGGGGTACAGCATCTGGCAGGGAAGAATAAATGACACTTTGTTGACTGCTCTGTGAATCGGAGTACACCGTAGACCCTTGACCACTGTCAAATGTGCTGTCAGCTGCCAAAAATAATTCAGACAGGAAAACGTAAATAAAAGGCCAAAGCAAATGAAAGCAGTATAAAATTACAGGAAAACTGCACATACTGGCTGACTTAGGTATTTTAATACAGCATTTTAAAAACGCACATTTTCATTACCAAAGATCTGCCAATAATTTGAGAATTTTAACAGTATTTTCTTTAACCGGCACACATGATCCTTTTTTGAAAATCTGAAGTGGGGACAAAATATCTGCTCCACAACCACAGATTCTAAAGGTGGGGGTTGACTCCCGCAAAATTGAATATCCCTATTTAGGCTCTCCTACTTTTCCAAAATTTGGGATCCAAATCAAAAAGACAATAATTAAACTATCTATTCATATAAAACGAAAGGGTTGAATTGGTAGGTCAATGCAACATTTGTTTGGCCAGCTGACCCAAATCTGGCTTGGGAGACCTGATTTACAGCATTCACAATGATCAATCATATGAGAGAAGTAGTACTATTACAATCCAAACATGAACCAATACAGCTTCTCACAATGTCTTCAAATCAGAAGGAACTCTTCTCACCCTTTCAGCAAGCGGATGACCTATGCATGGTCTCTTTTTTTCCAGATTTGTTCTAAACTGTATATTCATAATCATGAATAGCTTTTAGTAATGTAATATTAAAGAGACATTATCCTTTATACCAGGCTTTGTGATTTTCTCTAGTTTCCTTCATTTGTGTCAATGATTTTTCATGTTGATAGTGCTCGTATGCAATTCCAAAACCTTAGAACATTTTGGATAGTTTGAGAGGACACCTTAAATGTGTTTATGTACAAAAACCTTAGCCACATTGTAGCTATGAGCATGAGCAATACACTATGGCAGATAGAAACAGCTCTTCATCTGTCACTTTCACAGTTGTCAGTGCATGTTTAACAGTCTTTACAGTGAATGGAGTTGTCATTCACATGCAGCACAGCTCAGCACTGCAGCAGATAGAAGTATAAAGAGAATGCTTGGCATTGCATCCCTACACCCACTGATCAGAGTCCACACACTTCATGTGCCTAACAGCTTTGTTCAGCATGGAGATTAAATCTAGAATATGTTCAACTATCCCCTTATGCTTGGCAATACACACATCGATTCAACCATTCAATGAAACAGTCATTTTAATATCTTTAATGTATCTAGCAATTATTAGTTACTTTTCTCGAATATTTTGTTTTTATCGATTGCTATTATTCAAATATATAGAAAATGACTTGAGGGGCTTAAAAATACAGCAAATTTTAAAACAACCTTTTAGGCATACTGTAGAGAGCAATTGATCATTTTAGAAACCAACACTTGATTTTTTGTTACTTTTTCCAACAGATATTTGACATTGAAAATGATCAGATACATTTAGGTAAAAATTCACATTTGTGTACCATCAAATAATCTTTGAGCATATCAGTTCAGTTAAAAACAGATTGACCAGTTGATTATTATACTTAAATCAGCATTTGCTGCCTTAAAAACTAAAGCGTAAGACCTGAGGATATTATTATTCAGCAATGGGACACAGAAAACAAGAGATTTTCTATATTCAGAATTGTTAACCTTTTAGATTGTTGGCAATTTCCTCCAGACATTTCCTCCCTATAACACTACCGACTAAAATGTAATTTTGCAAGACTCCACTTTGTTTTGTATTGTGCCATGCTTGCTACAGTGGGGAAAATTATTATTTGATCCCCTGCAGATTTTGTAAGTTTGCCCACTTACAAAGAAATGAAGGGTCTAGAAGTTTTATCATAGGTGTATTTTAAATAAGACAGAATATCAACCAAGCATCTAGAAAAAAACACGATACAAATGTTATAAATTGAGTTGCAGTTCAGTGAGTAAGATTTGATCCCCAAGCAAATCATGAATTAGTACTTGGTGGAGAAACCCTTGCTGGCAAGCACAGAGGTAAGACATTTCTTTTAGTTGGTTACCAGGTTTGCACACATCTCAGGAGGGATTTTGGTCCACTCTTCTTTACAGATCTTCTCTAAATCCTTAAAGTTTCTTGTCGCTTGGCTACTCGAAGTTTCAGCTCCCTCCATAAATTTTCTATAGGATTAAGGTCTGGAGACTGGCTAGGCCACACCGTGACCTTAATGTGCTTCTTACTTGAGCCACTCCTTTGTTGCCTTGGCGATATGTTTTAGGTCCATGTCATGCTAGAAGACCAATCCATGATTCATCTTCAGTGTTCCGGCTGAGGGAAGAAGGTTCTCAAATATTTTACAATACATGGCCCCATCCATTAGCACCTCAATGTGGCAAAGTCGACCTGTACCTTTAGCAGAGCAACAGGCCCAAAGCATAATGTTTCCACCTCCAAACTTGACTGTAGGGATAGTGTTCTTAGGGTCAAATTCAGCATTTGTCTTCGGCAAAACGTGGCGATTCGAGTTAATGCAAAAGAGATCAATTTTGGTCTCATCTGACCACAGACGTTTCTCCCAATCCTTCTCTGAATCATTTAGATGTTCGTTAGCAAACTTCAGATGGGCCTGTACATGTGCCTTCTTGAGGAGGGGGGACTTTGCAGGAGTTGAAGGATTTCAATCTATGGCAGCGTATTGTATTACCAATGGTTTGTTTGGTGACTGTGGTTCCAACTACCTTGAGATCATTCACAAGCTCCTCCCATGTAGTTTTGGGCTGATCCCTCACTTTTCTTATGGTCATCCTTACCCCATGAAGCAAAATCTTGCATGGAGCTCCAGATTGAGGGCGATGGTTTATTGTCTATTTCTTCCATTTGCAAATAATAGCTCCAACAGTTGTCCCCTTCTCACCAAGCTTCTTGCTGATGGCCTTGTAGCCCAGTCCAGCCTTGTGCAAGTCTACAATCTGGTCCCTGACGTCCTTTGACAGCTCTTTGGTCTTGCCCATGGTGGTGCCAAAGAAAGATTCTGTGGATAGGTGTCTTTTATACACATAACGAGTTGTCGTTAGGAGCACCTTCTTAAATTGACAGGACTAATCTGTGTACCACATGAGTACATAGCCAGCCTGTGGGAGCCAGAATTATGGTTGGTTGGTAGGAGATCAAAAACTTATTTTACTCACTGAACTGCAACTCAATTTACAACATTTGTATCATGTGTTTTTTTTTTTTTTGGTTGATATTCTGTCATCATTTAAAATACACCTACGATAAAAATTATAGATCTTACATTTCTTTGTAAGTGGGAAAACTTACAAAATCAGCATGGGATCAAATAATTATTTTCCCCACTCTATATTCAGCAACTAGGATTATGGCCCAATGCACTGTTTACTAGGCTTTTATATATTGGTTCTGTTACTAAAAATAAGGGGGTGAAATGTTAATAGATTTTGTCATATTTGCAGAGGTTAAAAGATACCAAAGCTATTAACATCTGCCAGACAATTGCAAAATGAAATAAAGCTTTAAGATTCTAGACACCACTGTTCATGTCACCTACTTGAATAGTCTTATTTAAAAACTGGCCTTATTTGTCTGAAGTCTGCATGGCTCCTGGTTATGAAAAAGATTACTGCTTTAGTGTTTGTTAATGCATATGTCTACAAATAATGTTATGTGATCATAATGGTGGTCCTCAAATATCACTACAATCCAATTATAGTTTGTTGTAATTTGAATAACTTTTCAGTTTACTTCCATGATTTAACTTGCTTTCAGTTAATGATTTATTGATTTATGGTTAAACATTAAAGAGGACATTCACGCTCACCTATGACTTTCCATGATTTTTCCACTTATCCCCACGTTACACAATATTACATTTTCAGCTTTTTTTCTAGGAACAAAATAACATCCCCCGCGCAAACCCTTCTAGGACACGGACATCACTCATCCCAGGACACTTCAAGGGTAATCCCCAGCACAGTGTGCATGTGCTGGATGAACTCTGACACTGTGCATGCCCACCTCATCAGGGGGTCAGCTGCAAGAACCACAAAAACAGCCGGCCTCCAGATTACATCATAAGGGAAGATGGTAGCACAGGACTGTGACAAACTGGTGTCTTACAACAAAACGCTGGATTTGCTGGGAGGGCGAATATTTTTTTTTTTTAGGGCAGCCCAGCTGTCAAGGTAAAAATTGAGAGGGTAGTGAAGCTCCTCTTTAACCACTTGCGTACATTTGCGTACATTAACTTCGGCAATTTAAGTGGTTATACTGGGAATAATTCTAGCACTAGACCTCTTGTGTAGCTCTAAACTGGTAACCTCTAAAAGGCATTTAAAGCACCACCTACGGAGATTTTTTAAGTACCGAAGTTTGTTGCCATTCCATAAGCGAGAGCAATTTTAAAGTGTGACATTTTAGGTACACTATATTGCCATAGTATTGGGCCACCTGCCTTTACGCGCATATACACTTTAATGGCATCCCAGTCTTAGTCTGTAGGGTTATTGAGTTGGCCCACCCTTTGCAGCTATAACAGCTTCAACTCTTCTGGAAAGGCTGTCCACAAGGTTTAGGAGTGTGTCTATGGGAATGTTTGATCATTCTTCCAAAAGCGCATTTGTGAGGTCAGGCACTGATGTCAGACGAGAAGGCCTGGCTTCTAGTCTCCACTCTAACTCATCCGAAGGTGTTCTAACGGGTTGAGGTCAGGACTCTGTACAGGCCAGTCAAGTTTCTCAACCCCAAACTCGCTCACCCATGTCTTTATTGACCTTCCTTTGGGCACTGGTGTGAAGTCACGTTGGAACAGGAAGGGCCATCCCCAAGCTGTTCCCACAAAGTTGGGAGCATAAAATTTCCCAAAATGTCTTGGTATGTTGACGCCTTAAGAGTTCCCTTCACTGGAACTAAGGGGCCCAGTCCAACCTCTGAAAAACAACCCCACACCATAATCCCCCCCTCCACCAAACTTTACAATTGGCACAGTCAAGCAAGTGCCGTTCTCCTGGCAAACGCCAAACCCAGACACATCCATCGGATTGCCAGACAGAGAAGCATGATTCATCACTCCAGAGAACTAGTCTGCACTGCTCTGGAGTCCAGTGGCAGCGTGCTTTACACCACTGCATCCCGACACTTTGCATTGCACTTGGTGGTGTAAAGCTTGGATGGAGCTGCTTGGCCATGAAAACCCATTCCATGAGCTCTCTACACACTGTTTTTGTACTAATCTGAAGACCACATGAAGTTTGGAGGTCTTTAGCTATTGACTCTACAGACACAGTTGGCGACTTCTGCGCACTGTGCGCTTCAGCATTTACTGACCCCACTCTGTCATTCTACCTGGCCTACCACTGCTGTTTCCAGTTGCTTCCACTTTGTTATAATACCACTAACAGTTGACTGTGGAATATTTAATAGAAAGGAAATTTCACAGATGGACTTATTGCACAGGTGGAAACCTATCACGGTACCATGCTTGAATTCACTGAGCTCCTGAGAGTGACGCATTCTTTCACAAATGTTTGTAGAAGCAGTCTGCATGCCTAGGTGCTTTATTTTATACACCTGTGTCCATGGAGGTGATTGGGACACCAGAATCCAATGATTTGGAGGGGTGTCCCAGTACTTTTGGCAATATAGTGCATCTATTTACTCAGCATAACATCACTTATGCTAAGTAACTTACTTTTTTTTAACCAAACAATTGGGTATTATATGCCGTTTTTGGAAAATAAAATTCATTAAAGTGTATTATTTACAAAAAAAATAAAAAATTTGAAGAAACCACTGCACAAATACTGGTGGCAATTTGCAACACCTACTAATTTATTCTCCAAGGCCTCGGCTTACAAAAAATATTAATGTTTGAGGGTTCTAGGTAATTTTCTAGGAAAAATACTGATTTTTATGTGTAAACAAAAAGTGTCAGAATTTGCCTGCATTTAAGGTGGTTAAGCTACTAGTCCTGCTGCATGGTAATTCTTGACTACCACACACAACCAAGGACTCCCTATACTGGCCAATGTTACAGGGCCTAGCAGCAGCCAAATGCAACAGTACATAATCATACACAGCTAGAGATTAGCGACAAAGGATTCTCAGAGCACTGTGGCAGCTTGTGATATAAATCCAGTAAACCAAAGGCTTTTGTTACCAGGTGAAAAAGTCCTGCACATGATAAAGAAATAAATGTGAAAAAACACTGACTGTTAAAACAAAGATGGCTCATGCTTAGTTACCTGAACAGTGCAAAGGATAATGAACATGCCCAAAGTACAGCAATTTCAAACAAGTAATCAGTAATTGCCTTTCACTCATCTGGTTGCAGTAAATTCAGCTGGTTATGTTGGATTATTGAACTGTGTTCATCAGTCTTATGCAATGCCTCTACATCCTTCAGACATAACGGACCATAGGATATGACTAAAATCAACATCCTTTATGGACTATAATTCCACAAAACCATCAAATCAAACTGAAATTAACCACTATGCCTCATCTATTTTTTGAGTATTCCAAGTCTACATGATCTGACAATTACTCAAAATCTCTAGGCACTTTCGGTAAAGGCTGATTTAAACCGATCAGTTTTCCCCAACGAAACTAATTCTTTTGTCATTATAAGGGGATTAGTAAATCATGTGGATTCTAAGAGGTTAATTATATCTTTATGGAAGGATGCCCCCAGTCTGAGCAAGACAATACATTGCACTATAATCAAATCTAGCACAATCTTAGATGTTATGTATACTCAGATAATGCTATAATGTGACTGCCTGGTTAATAGTAATAACATTTCTACAGCATGATTTTTTTTTTTATTACCCAGCAGTTGCAGTGGCAGGAAGCGATTTTAAAAATATACACTACACTTAATTGACTTAAAAAGGTACACTCCAGACAAAATGCTATTTGACCTTCAGTTGCATACAGATAGTACAGACAGACTTTACATGGCGGGATACTCCATTGGAAATCATATACACCATATTGCCAAAAGTATTGGGATGCCTGCCTTTACACACACATAAACTTTAATGGCATCCCAGTTTTAGTCCATAGGGTTCATAGTCCATAGGTTTCATAGGGCCCACCCTTTGAAGCTATAACAGCTTCAACTCTTCTGGGAAGGCTGTCCACAAGGTTTAGGAGTGTGTCTATGAGAATGTTTGACCATTCTTCCAGAAGCGCATTTGTGAGGTCAGGTACTGATGTCAGGCAAGGCTCGCAGTCTCCGCTCTAATTCACTTTTGCACAGTCATGTTGAAACAAGAAGGGGCCATCCCCAAACTGTTCCCATAAAGATGGGAGCATGAAATTGTCCAAAATCTATTTGTATGCTGATGCCTTAAGAGTTCCCTTCACTTGAACTAAGGGGCCAAGCCTAACCCCTGAAAAACAACCCCACACCATAATCCCCCCTCCAAACTTTACAATTGGCACAATGCAGTCAGGCAAGTACCGTTCTGGCTACCACCAAATCCCGACACATCCATTGGATTGCCAGACAGAAGCAAGATTCATCACTCCAATCAACACGTCTCCACTGCTCTAGAGTCCAGTGCTTTACACTACTGCATCTGACGCTTTGCATTGTACTTGGTGATGTAAGGCTTGGATGCAGCTGTTCAGCCATGGAAAACCATTCTATGATGCTCGCTACACACTGCTGTTATGCTAATCTGAAGGCTACATGAAGTTTGGATGTCTTTAGTTATTGACTGTCAAGGTCCTACCTTTTCCCAGAGGTTATGTTACTCCATGTGCTGGCATCCATTTTGGATTTCTGCAGAGCATGGTGGGAATCTTTTATGCCTTCAGGTCTCTGAGGTCCATCCCCCAGAGGGGTGTGGCTGATTATATATAAGCCTGTGGTCTGCACATGCTCTTTGCACTTGTGTCTTTGTGTCGCTACAGCTCTGTTCTGACTCTCGTGACTCTCCTGGAATCTGATTCGGCTTGTGACTCGATCTGACCCGGCCCGTGACCTGTGATTCTCGTCTGCTGTCCTGTACCGTTTTGTCCCGTTGTTGTCGACCCGGCCTGCCCGACTACTCTATTGTCCTTTCCACCAGCTACACGCCATTGGCGGCGGCCATTACCGCAACTGGGGTGTCTCGGGGGCCGCGACCTGGTCCCTGGCTGTGTCAAGTCCATCCCCACCATCAGGGGCCCTGGTGAAGGGCAGCCTGGGACTTAGACTCTGCGCCCTGAGGGACTTCGGTCTGTGGGTGGTGGCTGTCGTCAGCCAGTGCGTTACATTGTTATTAGGCCTGCCTGTTCGTTCCTCAGATCCTGCCCTGACATTGACTCTGCAGACAGTTGGCGGCTTCAATGCACTGCGCGCTTCAGCTTGTGCTGACCACACTATCATTTTATGTATCCTACCACTTCATGGCGGAGTTGCTGTTGTTCCCAGTTGCTTCCACTTTGTTATAATACCATTAACAGTTGACCGTGGAATATTTAGTAGCAAGGAAATTTCACGGATGGACTTATTGCACAGGTGGCAACCTATAACGGTACCACGCTTGAATTCACTGAGGTCCTGAGAGCGACCCATTCTTTTACAAATGTTTGTAGAAGCAGTCTGTATGCCTAGGTGCTTGATGTTATACACCTATGGTCATGGAGGTGATTGAACGCCTGAATCCAATGAATGGATCAAGATCAGGCTCAGATAAATGTTTAGGTTGGAGGCACAACTTCAAAATTTTTTTTACCTAAATGCAGAGAATTCATGAAGGTAAAAAAACCTTTTTGCCTTTATAACCACTTTAGGCTACACAATGAAACAATATCTTTAGTCCCCCCAAATAATCCATCCAACTATTTAATGGCCCTGTAATATATTTTTCATGAAACCATATCTTACAGTGTTTTTCTACCTCATAGTTTGGTCCTCTGTGTGCACCTGAACCTCTCCTTTTCGGCATCACATATTTGTTTGGAACAGTGCATGTTAGTTGCAGTCATGTGCACTGTTCCATGCACACCACAAATCTCATAGTCCCTAGTATTGGGAGCAAGCAAGAGACTTCCAGCAGGAAGTCAGATCACAGCAGCAAAAAAAAAATTGGGAGACTTGAAAGAGGAGGAGAGCAATAGAATGCACTTTTCTGAGTTCAAAATACATACTTGGATGGATTTTCTTTTTAAACCAAAGTTTAGTGTCACTTTAAAATCAGACACCAGCTCTAATACTTCTCTCCATGTCTATTTTGTTTTTGCAGCCTCTGTCCACTGGGACAGAAGTGTGGAAAAATCAGGGCATTCAGGGCAATACAACTGGCTTACATATACTTGCCTGTTCTTCATCCTGCTCCACTCAGTGTGGGGAGCCAAAAGGAAATGCCAAATACATTTGGGTAGAGGAGAGCATGTGACGGCATTGTTTTACAGGGAGTTTATAGCCCTTTGTAAGCTATAATTTTGGCAACTTGTAGCTTACAAAGGATTTTTCTTCCGATCGGTTGAACAGTACAGAATGGGAGCAAAATGATGGCACTTGTTAGGGGGAAGTTCAAATGAATCTGCTGCTTTTCACTGTTTGGTCAAAGCACAGGTTCACTTTAAGAAAGCAGGAAAATTAAAAACAGTTCTTAAGATTTTAATCTTGTATACCAATGAGAAAAATCTGCTGCAAATATATTGTGCCTGTTATTTTTGTCTTTGTTATAATCATATTCATAATCATTCATACTGATTCATAATCACATATCTTCCCCAAGCCATCATCTCTAGGTAATGGCTCAGTAAACCTAAACACTTGATTACTGTAAACTTCAGCTATTTTATTTTTCTGCCATTTTTAAGAGCAAATCTACAGTGTATAGTATTTTGACTGTGAAGATGTTTTTGAGTACTTTTTTTCTGAAAAAATATATTTTGTCATTTCTTGCAGATCTTGCCATGCTTCCAAGTTTTCATCACCTTATTCATGAAAAGATTGCACACTTTGCCTCTACAGTGGCTATTCTCAAACAGGCCTTTGTGGAATTCTAGGGTTGACAGAGCAAATGGCATGACACCAATTACCTTTTCCGCAGTATTTAACAAGGGCAATCTGATCACCATTGCAAGGGGGCCATCCTTCCAACTGGCCACCAATTTATAGGGACCATCTTTTCCACGAGCCACCAGTGTAAGGAGCATTTATCCCAATGTGCTGAGACCTGACAATTATCTTAAAGTGTTACTAAACCCAGAACAGTAAAATCAGTCTGTATATGCAGTAGAGCGTGCATGTTATACTCACTGTGGAACCTAAGGTGTTAATCCTCCGCATTCTGAAAAAAGCTGTTTGATCCAGTCTTCTCTGATCCTTCCCTTCTTCCACAATCCCATCCATCTGCTGATAGCACAGAGCATTGGGGCAAGCTGCACATGCTCAGTTTGATGTGTATTGCTAGAGTTTTCTTTTTTTTTTTCTTGGGAGAGTGCATGTGATCAGCACGGGGCCAATCAGTGCTGTCCAGTGGGTCAGGGGTCCTGCAGCCTCACAGGACAATCAGGGGAAAAAATGAAACTCCTCCAACAAACTGTAACCAGTGCTCTGCTGGACACTGATGGAAGTCACAAGACTGCTATATACTGCCGATGAGAAGAGATATTTAGCAGTTTATATTTATTAAAATATTTGCATTTCTATGTTCTGTGTATTGTGGGAGACGAGATATAATGAATGCAGGGTCCTGGGTTTAGTAACACCCTAAGCGTTCTACTGGGGTAAAAAGATTGACAAAGAATGCTCCACAGGATAAGCCACATAGAACGTCTATCGTTTTTCAGTCATCAGGAGCAGAATGATAGACTTGCACCGAGGAAGAGTAGTAATACATTTCAGAAGAGTAGTAGTAAAATACAAAGACTACGCAGGAACACTAGCTTTTCTATTTTTTTACATTTATTTTCAAAGTTTACAAGCTAATAAAAAGATTTCTTCTATTGATGATGGGTAAACTATTTACTTGTTGCAACAAAATATTAAGCCAGGATTGGACCAGTAAGACAAGAAAATGTTCTCTGTGAGAACCTGTGTAAATGGGCTTTTGTTCAAGTCATAATGGATTTCTTACCATACAATTTAATTAGAAGGCAAAAGCAACTAGAAGTAGCTTAGAAGGAAGTCAAAAGGCAGGTTAGGTAAAGGTCAACTACAGTTCAAATGCCCCTAAAAAGAATCTGGTTGGCATTGAATGGACCCAAGGAGAAGACAAACATGGTGCTGATTCTCAAAATAAAGGATGGGGACTGTAGCAACAGTCTACTTTGACACTGCATTCTATCAACTACCATTGAACCCCCAATGCAGGTTTTCAGGTAAATACTGGATGCATCTATACTCAATGATCTCATGGAATAAACCTTCATTATTTCAGTGATCCTAAAGTCTACCTTTGACATGCGGTTAAGAGGTTTAAAACATTTAGCATTGAATACCAGAATTAAAGCAGGTTCTAAGAGTGAACCATCTCTGCTTGGCCTAATTACTTTATGGTGATCTTGTCATTCTCATTTAAAGGTATTCCTACACAGTTTATCTTTTACAAATGTTAAATGATAGAACTGTTAATGGAGTATTACTTGGCTTTTAAAGTTTGCTCCAAGGGAATTAATAACAAAGAAAAATGTAGGGACATCAACACGAATATATACATGCATGGATCATTAACTTGCGCAAGAAATTAGGAGAGCTGTAAGATATCTAAGGCAGAGAAATGCAGTCACTACTCTAGTTTCCATCACCTGGCATGAAGTCACCGCATTATTTTTTTAAACATGAACTACATAAGCAAAATGTACAAAAACTTGATCACCCTATCCAGAGACAGATATTTGTTTCACTGCAATAGGATCTCATGCTGCAACTTCCTGGCAAAGGAATTTCTTTAAAGGGCACATTTGTGAGAGGTTTAATTTTTTCTTGGATAGTGCGTGTGATCAGCACAGGGTCAATCAGTACTGTCCAGACAGAGGTCATGGGTCATGCATTCTCCTAAGAGAGAATGAGAACTCCTACAAGCTTTAACATACTCAGCTGGAAACAGATAGTCTCTAACTGCTGATGGGAAAAGGTATTTAGCAGTTTATATTTACGAAAATAATTACACTTCCATGTTCTTTGTACTGTGGGAGGCCAGATATAGTGAATGCAGGGTCCTGGGTTTAGTAGTTCTTTAATCTTTATACTTACTCCTTATGCTCTATTAAAGGTAGGTACAAATTTTTCAAGGAGAATACTTGGTCATTCTGAGATGAGGCAGGAAGGTACACCTTTCTCTGCTGAGGTTCTTAATGATCTCAGGTTAGAATCGGTGTCACATCAGAAGTTGATACTTTGTTCATGGCATATCCATATGAGCCTTCTGAGTTATTTGGCAAGCCAACCCAACACTTTACTCACAGCAACCCGTGGAACACTACTGAAACTGACAGCCTAAGGACCAAGAATCTGGAGTCCAGCACAGATGCTAATACTAGAGGCAGTAAGGATCCCATGAACATGTTCATAGATGTAGCACACACTCGTATTCCAACGCGTGTATATTGCTGCTTGCGAGAAAAAATTAATCCGACATTTGACTGATCAAATTGACGTTTCTATCAACTCCCAGTATAAATGTCCCGTTTGGTCATTTCCACTAATTAAGAAATAGTCAAAAAATTAGTGGTATGGAAAAAACTTTGTGGAATGCTTTGGCTTAGCACTGACACCAACTCCTCCTGGAGTAAAGTTTGTGGATTCTCATTATCACTCCCAAAAAGGCCAATTCTACATCCAACTCTGCACCCAAAGCCTGGGAAGATTCCTCTGAGGGCACATAGGAATAGGGTGGGCATTTCTCCTAGATTGTAAGCTCGAAAGAGCAGGGCCCTAGATCCCCTCATGTTTTGCATTGTATTGGTATTGTTCTGTCACATGTTCTGTCCCCCTTTGTAATGTACAGCGCTGAGCGAACTACTGGCGCTTTATAAATACTGTATAATAATAATAATTTCTTACTCATGGTTGAGTTAAAGCATTCTACCTGTGACACAAAACCTTCAAATATGGAAGCCAGAAGTTTAGAGATGAGGATGGCCCGGGAATACCCAAGGTTGGCAGTGGATGGGAGAGATGTCACTGGTGATGGTTTTCAGCTGTTATAAAATGGATTCACCAGAGCCCCCTGCATCACTACACTGTAAGTGGGGCAAGGGAAGGAATCCTTGTCTTGCAGGCCCTTCATGGAAGCCCAACCCCTTCTCTAACATGCTGCCTCCAGCAGTTACTTGTAAGGCCTGAAACAGTCCAGGGCAACTGGCCGATAAAAAGGGAGCCCTTACTGCCACTTACGTAGACTACAGCAGCTGACTGCAGCAACTTCCAATTTTTCCATTCCCAGCATGTGAACTTACAGGGGTCCTTTCTGTGGCAATACAGCAAAGTATCCTGAATAAAGATGGCCACCACAGCTTGCAGCCTTAAGTCTGGGGCTAAATTCACAGCTGGCCCAAGACACTGAAATACATCTGCAGTCATAGCAGAGATAACACAGTGGTAGCTGCTTAACAAAGACCTCCAGGAGCTGGATTACTTTACACTATTAGGAGAGCTTG